TGAACGGCAGCTCAAGGTCAGCTGAAATTGACTTCGCGGCATGCGGGCGTTACGACGATCTCCAAGCAGACCAGTAGTGTCAAGCTCGAAATAGGGGTCCTCAATCGCCATCGCGTCCGGCATCACCCTTGCGTTTGGCAAAAGAAACTACTGTCGCGCCAGCGTTAATTGTAGATGAACAGCGAACACTCAATACCTGATCAGCTTGCTGCTGACATGTACACGCAAAGCTTCCACGGGGACCGTCAGCCGCTGACTACCCCACAAACTGGCGGTCTCGCCGTTTCCGTTAATGGGGATGTGCATCGAGCTGCTTGCTTTTCAAACTCAATCGCGCTCCAGACAGTCGGAGATTTCTTTTGCAGATCCCGCGATGATCGGAGCAAAGTCGCGCAACGTGAACTACAACCACCATTTTCAAGCCTCCAAGCACTGCAACAACCACACAATGCACAGAAGATGCAAGAGAAGATCTCCATCTCCAAGATGATACGGTGAATTGATACCCAAGGCTGAGACACATGACCGCGCGTTTCAGCGGAACGGTAAGCCTTAGCCTGTTCCTGGGCTAGTTTGCGATCTGTGCTTCCACACCTCACACCGCTTTTCAGCGAAACTTTGCAGGAGCGCAGCGACCGCATTTTTGCTTGAAATACCAGACATCCCTTCTATTCTCCTAATTCTTTCTTTTCTAGAACACCTTGCCCTTGACCGGTTTGCTTGAAAGGAAACGACGTTGCGAAACTGAAAGAGAAGGAGAAATGCCACCCCGAAGCGTGTGTTTGAATGTGTTTACGTCCAGTCTTGGCGATGGCAATGGAGCGGTGAACACTGGTCGGCATTCCATAATGGACAGGAGGGATAGCGCGCAGAGTGGTATGTTGGAGTCTTTTTCGAAGTTGCAATTGTGCACTTTGAAATCGCTATTGCGATGCATACTAACTTTGCAAACCAGACATTCCGAGACGGTCCTCTGACGGCTCTGTCGCATCGCAAGCCACACCACCAGCGACGACCTCACCACTCCCTGCATTCAACCGGCCCGAACTCTTCCATTCCCTGCGTCCCATGGCCAGCACCGAAAGTCTGAACGGCGCATTCAACAGCAAACGTAAGTTTGGACTCCTATCTCCAGCTCCCATGTGGCGCGATGCAGGAACCCCGATTTGATTCGCTGGGCTGCATTAGCGCACATGTGGCGCTCCACTTTATCCCACTATTATCGCCGGCCGCCTTACTGGCCTCGCACTACAACACCACTTCACTTCATGATGCAAACTTCATGATGCTAGGGACTTGACGCTAACATGCAAACAGCTTGCACAACATGCTCCGGCGAACCCGCACGCCGTCGCTGCTCCCGCTGCAAGGCTGCTTACTACTGCGACCGCAACTGCCAAAAGTCCGACTGGAAGACCCACCGCAACGTCTGCGAACCCATTACCCAGACTTACTCCGCTCCTGCCACACCCAACTTCTCCAACCCCACTAGCCCCACGAACGAATCTTGAAGGATGCGACGACTACCACGCCGCGGACGTAATGAACGCTGGAGGAGTCAATAGAGCAGAGGCGCTGCGAATGGAACGACGGACGGATGTGATATCAACAGCAATACACCTGCTACGAACTAATGATACGAATTGACTGGACTTGGGAAAACTGGACCGAGGCGTTACTTTTTGTTGTTGTTGTTGTTGTTGTTGTTTGATTGAGGAGGTGTTTTTGGGTGTTATTACATTTAGAAAGAGCGAAAGCATTCAGTTGCACTGCATAGCGAAACTAGCGAAATCATACTCATTCTTAGCTTTTTTGGAAGACGGGACTCTTTGCGCTTTGCGACGTTTGTGATGGTTGATGGTTGATAGATCAGACTGCACTTTTGGGAAGCATTATTTCGCTTGCTGCGAGGCTTCACGAGATTTATTCCTTTCGGCGTAATCGATGTGTCTCTGACTCGCCTTCGAATATATACGCTCACCGCTTCTTTTCACGGAGTCACCAACTCGGACCTACGTGGCATGCTCCTTCACGCACTGTTCACCCAGCATTGTTGTTGCGGCAGATGATGCAGTCATGTTCCAATCTGCCATGTAGCTGACTACACAGTCTCCTAACGCCATGCGCGCCTTTGCCGACAGGTTTTTTATGCTGCTCGCTGTTAGACGAGTAACTACTAATTAATACAGGATGCAAGAGATAGCTAAGTAATAGTATATTGTTTAGTAAAGATAGACGAATTGTTGCCTGCTTAGCTACGATTCTCTGGATCTACTTATACTCGCACTAGGTCAGGTCACCTGACCGTTTGGAACACGGGTTCTTGACACTCGCTAGGGTTTGTGGAATTTACAGGTCATGTTGTTACACGATTGTGATCTCCTGTTCAACGACATCTCCTATCCTGCGTTCGTCAAGGTCTTTAAATGTGCCAATTCTTCGTACAATCCCTGGTCCAGCGGGTATTAGAACTAGACCTTGGCAGATTTGCACGCGATCATTACCCACTGAACGCCAATAGTGTCGTAGCGGCAGAAGTACTAAACCGAAAAACATCGATCATTAGAGTTGCTCGCCAGAAGCTGTTAGGGTTGGGGAAAACTCACGAACAATCAAAGGGTCACTGCGGAATTCTTCGTAGTCCCAGAAAAAGTCTACTTCAAATGCTGTACCCCGGCTCAGCACTGCACCAATGGTGTCGTGGTGAAAATAGGTCTTGTAGAACATTTTTAATGGTGGTTCTGTCACCCCAGTGTCGGAATGGATAAGCGTACACATCAGGAACCTCCTCCGGGCTGACGTTTCAACGCTTGCAATGATTATCTTTCCACAGATTTTGATTGATGCGTGGACCACTTCTCCATAAGGAACTTCTACGTTCTTACGGAGGACCTTCACCGATGACAATTTGCAGCAGTCCTCTGCTGCAACTGTACTTGCCATCGCCATGGACAAATGGCCAGCTGAAGCCCAAGACCACGATGGTGCTTTGTACAAGTCGCCACGGCGTTCTCGTGAAGAAGATGAGGGTTCCCAACACAACTGTTTGATAAGACCGTATTGCCAGAGACCCGCATAGTAATGCCCCAGGACTGTGGCAAACCTTTCCGCCAAAGCCGCGATGGCAGGCAACTTGTCACTTTGTAGGGACATGTTTCGATGCGAATAACGTTGAACAATTCGTGACCAATCCGAAAGAGCTTCCTCTGGATCTTTGCTAAGTTGAGAAATCAACTTTGTCATTGAGTTATACCTTTTGACCACATTCAATGAGTCGTTCAAATTCATCATATTTGATGCACATCGCCACTGTAGAGTATGCTCAGTGTAATTTAGTATTCGGCTAGCCATCATCTCTTCTTGCAATGCCCATGCTCGTGTGCTTAGTGGGTTGTTTGACCTTTCATATGACGAGCGAGATACATACTTCCGAGCGGTGATGCTTCCAAATCTATTCAGCGCCACTCGGAACGGTATCCGCGCGTTAGGAGCTTTGTCTTCGGGACGATTTGCTAGGAATCCGTGAGCCGCATCGCTTGCATTGGAAGCCAAGATTGTGATATAAGCATTGCTATATATCCGGGCCATGGACCCAATCTCGCGGGCTTTGTCTTCCGCATCATCTTGAACTATGCACAGTGCATCGACCTAGGGCACCCTCGTTAGACACACTGAGTATGACTCTGGATCAGATGGAAGTGTCCAACATACCCAGAGATAAGGGATCGACAGTGACCGTGTGACAAGGATAGCATCCCTAATAGTTTGAGGCAGATGGTTGAAGTCCATGTGCTGCATCAGTGTCTTGATAGTGTCCGACCGCAGCTGGATTTGCGAACCAGACCCCCAACAATATGACAATGCTACAAATCTCCCGAAGTCTCCGTTCGTGTGATAGATCTTTGCTGTCTCTACTTCAATGACACGTGTGGGGAGAGGAGAATCGATTTGCTTGGGACAGCATGCATGTTGATCGCATTCCTTGAGCCATCTCGCAATCTGGGGAGATGTTTTTGATGGCGTCATGTCTCCATCTACTTCGCGAGCGGTGACTTGTTGGGCGGCAAAGTTATCGCATTCAGTGAAGAATTCAAGGTCTCCAATGTAATGAAACCACTCGAAATTGCGCGTAAATCGAAGCTCATAAAGGTTGCTGCCTGTTGGCGTGATGACATCTTCGGGGTTATGGATCAAACTGATTTCACAGGTCTCCGAAGGAATTTCACGCCCATATACGACCCGTTCGATGAACCGACACCACATGCATCCAGTTTTGGTACCCGCTTGAACGTTCTCTCTGGTGATCTAATCCAAAAAATGGGTCAGCCTACATTGTATTCATTGGGTATCCTGGGTAATTGTGGCACTCGAGACCCACAAACGCTTTGTAACATGCAAATCATAGCATAGTGACCGCGTGCAACACTCACGTCGTATTTGAACTGGCCAATATCACCACGCCCCAGCTTCTCAAACCCCTCCGTGTCGAAGCAATCTACCCAGCAAGGCTCGCAAACCAACGCGCGCACACGCTCGAGCGGCTCCGGTTCACGCGCCATCTTGGCACCTAATAGCGCAATGCGAGTTGCGCACAGTGGCACTTTCGTTGGCTTGCCGTCGTTGTACGAGTAGGAATGGAGGAAGTGATGCGGGGTGATGAGAACGCTGAACTCGGGTTGGCGAAGTTTTGAAGTTCGGGAACTGTCCACGTGAGATGTACCAAAAGGGAAAGTGGCGTAGGTAGCAGTTGCGCATGAGTAAGTCAAATTGCAGCGTCAGCAACACTGGGCAAGGCCGGTTTTATCTTCCGCGACGATATTGATAGGGATATCTAGTCCATCACAGATCATCGACACTACAAGATGCTGAAAGCAGTTGCAGTTGTACATCATTAGCATGGACCGTAGATGATCTTTCACTCGAACACTTGGGGCTGCGCGACTGGAAATACGTGGCACGCAATGTCACTTCTTGTACATCGGTGAAATGCTATGAGGCTCTTACACAACCTGGCCGTACGGCGCAGCTCCATCAAGCTTAAAGTATCCAGGCTGTAAGTTCTGGAACACCCCGCTCGGATCGTACTTTTTCGAGACCTTGTTCAGCCTAGCCACGTTTTCCGCACCGTAGCCCGAGATAACAGGCTGATAAGGACTACTATACGGCATGTACATGTAGTCATTATACGCACCCAGCTCTTTCGCCATGGCAACCGATGCGCTCAGGAAGTCTTGCGCCGCTTTCAAGACCACCTTGTCATCCTTCTCGGCCGTCCAAGACAAGTAGAAGAGGGCGTGGAATAGAGGGCCGTCTTCTGGCCGAAGACCCAGCGCATTGCCGCCCTTTTTTTGCATGGCTGCAATGGCGGGTTTGCTGAAGGCTTGAAACGTGACACTAGGCAAACCAACGGGGATACCCGGCGCGATCTCGAAAAGATGGTCTGTCATACGCTTCATCAACTCTGTGTTTAACTTGAAGGACTGGGACCACATAGTCGTGCGGAAGCCGTCTGGCATGCTTTGGCTGAGACCAGGGGTTGTGTCGGCCAGACTGCAATTACGGGTGTTGTCGGTGAGTGGAGGCAATGCGAGGTATTCCTTCAGTATAGCGGGTGGGTTCGCTGGGTCGACCGGCTCGAAATACTCGTACTCAGTCGATGCAATCTTGACGCCACGAGAGTAAGCGACGGCAACAAAGTGGGCGGCCTTGGTATCGGTCTCAGCTGCCTCAACTGTGTTTCCAAACGCGTCGAACAGGGCAGGCGCGTAAGTTGCGTTGTACTGGCGTTTGCTCGCAAACATAAGACCTTGAGTTAGGGTTTCGTAGTTGAACGCCGTGATCACGCCGAAGTTGTTGCCGCCGCCGCGAAGGGCCCAATAGAGGTCTGGGAAAGTCTTTTGGCTCACAGTAAGGATGATACCCGAAGCGGTGACGAGCTCATATGAGGCAATGTTGTCACAAGCTAAGCCGTACTCGTTGGTGTGGTGACTGATACCTCCGCCGAGCGTGAGTCCGCCGACTCCGACATATGCCGCCTATTTGGCATCAGTAACGAACTCAAGGTATTGAGGTTGATCATTCGACTTACTCGTCCACCAACAATGGCAAGATTGTAGGGCGTCAGGTAGTCGTATACCTCCTTCCATCGGTTCCCAGGGCCGACGGTAAAAGTCTTCTTATCCGTAGAGAGTTTCTTTTGGTTCAGGTTGACCATATCGACAGTGATGCCACCTTCAATGCTAGATGCGCCGGGAAAGGCCGCATGGCCTCCGCTTTTGACTGCGAAGGGACATGTTGTGAGACGTGCGATCAGTACTAGGCTCGAGACATCTAGGGCGGTACTAGGCTTGAACGTGCAATGAGGTTCGACTTCGAGCTGCTGTATAGACCAGTACGTTGTTGGCGCAGCGCTGGATACCTTGGCCGCTCCAAAAACGAGCTTGAGGGAGTTGCACTTTCCGAAGCTAATTAGCGGAAGATCGGTAAGATTGGGTAAATGAAACCTACGGCAATGAAGCAGCCCTCCAAGGAGGATCTGGCCGCCAGACCAGCCAAGGCGGGGATGGTAGACACGTTGATGCCGTTGTCAATAAGAGCCTCCGTCACATTGAAGTCAGCCGGCTCAAAGACATCCTGAGTTGATGCTCCAGCTGCCACCGCAAGAGCGCAAACGCATAGCTGATGGAAAAGCTTCATGACCGTTGAAGTAAATAGCCGCGCACCCAAGGGATTAAGATCAGAACTTCTGCGGCCTATATGTGAAGGGACAGGCCATCGATCGCAGGAGACAAGCCTTTTGTAGTCGTATCCAAACCCGCGGAGCCCCCAGGGCGAGTAATGAGACGGCTCTTACGGGTCTAGAAACGCCGTTGCGCGTCTTCTATGCGATGTACAGCGCGTGTTAGTGAGATCATATAAACTGTCCAATCGCAAGGGTTCAGATCGTTACTTCTGCAGGTGACGGGCGGCAGGCCGCGAAACGAGATGCCCACAGTATGCAAGTCGCACATATTGCCTCGCGGAAGTAAGGAGCAAGCACAGTCCCTGCAAGATCCTGTACCTAGATGGGGCGATTTGTATGCCTGGCTAACTTTGAAGGGATTGCACTTTTGATCTTGGGTACTGAGCCTCTCTTCTTCGAGAGATGTCTTTTCGAGCGCTGAGAACGATACGCATCCAAAGTGCATCTCTTCCGCCCATTATCGGATCCAAGACAGTTAGTTGACGCATTTTGTGAGGGAGGCAAAGGATCGGACTGCAAATGTTGATGCAAGGCGAGACGGAAATCGGGTTGAGACGGCTCGGTTCCGTGCTCCGCCACTAGCGCCGCTTGGCATAGCGGCACGGTCTGCGGCCGAACCCAGCCATCGGTTCTCCACGACTCTTTCAATCCATCGTCCATCACCACCAAGTTTCTTGTACATACTCTGGGTTCGATCCTTTCGCTACACTCGCACCCATATGATTACAACTAGCGTGTATCAGGCAGGTGCAGCTTCCAGCTCTTGTCCTGGGCGGTAAGCTCGTGGCAAGCCTCATTAGCCACTCGACAGCCCCTGCCCTGTCAACGCCGACAAGTTACCCCCTGACATCTGGAGTTGGGTCAGGGCACGCAGATAGGCTTCCAGACGTCCACTGATGAACACATGCACTCTGACTGTCGCTTATCGATTCGGAAATTGAATAAGCAATGTGTGCGACACGTCGCCCGGAGAGCATCTGGGAGCGCAGCTCGCATCAAGCTTTTGCTACGCTAAGAGCATGGATCCACCAAACATGGCGTGTCGACACGCACTGAAAGTTCGATCAGCTGTGCCTCTTCCTTCCTGTTATTGCAATCAAAGTTGCCGCGACATGAGACTGAAATCCATGCACCGGGATTCTGGCACGTTGAGATCCACTGTACCGCTGGCGCGGTCAAGAAGGATGACGGACGACTCTTATACCTGATGCTGGATGCACTGTTTGTAGCAATAGACCCCATTGTCTACCCGGGGCGTCCCTTCCTTGCCAGTACGTTGCCCCTCCAGTTGGCACTACTCTTTCATTCTTCAGATTCACTGTTATGACTCTCTCTACTCACGAATCCAATGACGGAGGCTCGAGCGCATCGTTTCCACAGACAACGGTGCAGGTAGTCGGCTATGTATCCATCTCCATAGTGTCAGTGGCTATAATAGCCCGATGCTTGCTGCAGTATCTGCGACCGAGAAGAATAGCTGCACAAGACTGCTGCATGGCTTTTGCGTACGTTCTTTTTCTTGCGCAATGCATACTCTACATTGTCCTGTCGCCCATACGGGGTAAAGTGCAGGAGGTAACGGAAGGCAAGATGCCACGCTACCGTGAGCTTCCTTATCATGTCTATCTCATCGGCAGACTCATTTTTCCTGCCTTGATGTTCTTCTGGGCCATCTTATGGACTGTCAAGTTGGGCCTGCTTCTTCTTTACAAGAAACTAACTGTCGGGCTGCCGAGGGTGTACAATCGGATGTGGTGGTTCCTTGCCGTTTTCTGGGTCATTGTGGGTTTCCCCCTACATCTTGACAAGAAAACCACTGTATGCTGACATGACAAACAGTCACTCATTGGGAACTATGTCGGTTTTCTCACATCTTGCGTATCACTACACAGCTTCTTCGATGGATCTGAAGGTTGCAACAACAGAGTTAGGCAGTTCGTCAGCATTTGGTACTCGTTCGGTGCGGATACGATCACCAATATCATGCGTAAGCACTCTCGGCATCAAACCGCACGCTTCGAAATCGCTGCTGACGATCCCTAGTCATCGCATTTCCTTTGCGTCTTACATGGAACCTCCAGATGCCGCGCACGCAGAAAACTGCTATCATCGTCTTATTTGCCAGCGCAGTATTTTGCATCTTGATCGCCACTCTACGCGCTGCCAATGTCACTGCGCATACTATCAGGACTGGCAAGACGATGGACGGTACATGGCTTGCAGTATGGAGTATGGCTGAGACAGCTGTCGGTAAGTCGCCTATGTGTCTTTTAGCTTGATCTGCTCCGTTGATCCAGTCGCTCAATACTGACACGAGTTAGCCATTTTGATCGGGCTCTGCCCCTCTTTCGCCGTCCTTCTCAACTCGAATGGCAGAACAACTCAGAAAGTCCATGGATGGAGCTATAACCTGCGTACCGTCGGCAGTGATTCAACACGCCATAAGCACAAGACGCCTAATGGATTGGATACTTTTTGGACGAACATACACGGTAGCCAGGAAGAGCTAGCAGGAAAACAAGATGGTGCATCTGTCACTACGACAGCCGACCAAGATGAAGAAGGCCCGGGCATGGCTAGATGAGTGCGGACAAGACCATGGGAATAATGGAAGTTCGAGCTAGCAGCAGCTAGCACACCTGAACAGGCGCAGGGTATCACGTGGACGTAGCATGGCCCATGGAGTATACAACGTGTCGAACTCGCGTGAAGGTACATGTAACGACTATGCATGACATCTACGTCATGTTTCATACTCTACTGCCGCACTACAAATTCGTATGTGTAATCACCTGAGACCAGATTCTCTTCATCGATCGTTGCGACTCAGTTCTACGTCTTTTTCACGACATCGGAGAAAGAAGCCCGTCTGGCGCTAGTGAGCCACATTCACTTCATTTCTGAGGTCCACACTTAGCTTGTTTGGTATATCACGGGTTCTAGCGCACTCCGCGAACTGCAAGTGACGCCGACTTCTCTACAATAGCCAACTTCTCTTGATTCGCGTTTGCGATACAACCTAACGTGCTCTGGTTTCAACCACCCCTTCCATAACCTCTCCAAGCACCTCTCTAAGAACTTGCGGCTGTTCTTCCAGCGCACCTACATCTTCAGGCTAACACATTCCAGGGCTTTACCTCACATAACCGAGAGACTTTCGGTCAGCCGAAAAGATGAGCGCCAATCAGGACTACATGACGCCAAACGACCATCTCCAGCAGTCCCTCCAGAACACCTCCGCATTTGAAGTCCTGGGCCACTTCTGCGGTATACCCGCTGTCGGCTCCCCCCAACGACTCAATGAGGCTGCGGTCGTCTGCATCGACGCAGAGTGGTGGCAGAAAGAGCCCAAACCCACCACCGAACTCGGAATCGCTGAGCTCATGCAAAAGGGCCTGACTCCTACCATCCACGCAGAGAATATCCTATCTAGCATCCAAGTCGCGCACGCCCGCATCATCGAAAACGCCCACCTCGTCAACAGATTTCCCGGTGCTGGAGACCCCGATAACTTCCTTTTCGGTAAAACCAAGTTCGTCACCATGGACGAGGTGAAACAGGTACTCATCAACACATTTGTGCGACCGCGGGAATACGGAGACGGCTCTGATCTGCAGCCCATCATCTTGGTCGGCCACGCTGTAGAGAACGAATTCGAGCATATGCAACGCGCGTTCGGCGTCGACCTACTGAGCTACGGTACTATCGTCAAAGTCATCGATACGCAGCTCATGGCGCAAGAGCTTGGTATCAAAGCACCACGAGGACCATTCATCGGTTTGAAAGACCTTCTCGCGCACTTCAACATGGTTGTACCCAACCTCCACACCGCCGGCAATGACGCAGCAGCTACGCTCATGGCCGCCGTCTTACTCACCCTCAAGCCTTGGATGTACCCCGACGTCCCTGGCTCGCCACCCGCCGTGGTCCAGGGTCGCAGTATGTCAGAAGTGGTGGCTGGTGTCATGGAGATGGGACAGTCGTTGTCGCCGCCTCCGTGGGGAGAGCTCGTGTATTGCATCCGATGCGATCACAAGAGTCATCTCGCCAAATCCTGCTACACTGCTCTCACCTGTCAGATTTGCAGCAATTCGGGCGTCAAGAGGCTGTTTGGGGCGCGAAATACCCATAAGACTACCAGATGTATGTATCAGTACTTGCCGATACCGCCGAGGGACTATGGATTTGGAGGGCAGTAGATTGAGGAGGTCTATGGGGACAGAGGCGAGAGATGACATCAAGGAAACGTTTGAAAGGACTACTGGTAGAACACCCAGGTAGCTACGCAGCTACGAATGAAACCATCACACTGGCGTACAAGTCAGACCCCACCTCAAGCAATAGAAAGCTGAACACACCGGAGCCTACATGAACCTTGGACCACCTACTTTGCATATTTTTATCTTGATGTAGGCTCCAGACCTGTGAATAGTCTTTTCTTTGGTTGACGTGACCCCAGCCTTTTCCAACTTCTGCCTTCATCACCGCTACATGAATCAACGACTCGTAGTGACACTAACGATATCCACATAGCTGCTCCCACACCAGCCCGCCCCATCTGCTCAACGAGGCCCAAACGCACACGACCCCTCCATATGAGTCCCCGCATTCTTCCTCCTCCACTCCTGCACTGCACATTCACACCTCCCACACTTCAGATCCGCATTGTGACACTCCAAAAACCCATGCTCACCACTCCCGCACCTCCAGCAAAACACTTCTACACCAACAGGTGGCGCTGGCGTGGGCCAGTTCATCAAGCTCTGCACCACGAACATCGCAGACTTGGAACTTGACTGACCCACCCGCCCTGGCTTTGCCTTCGCATTCTGCAGAGACCCATAGAGCTCGAAGCGAAGGGTTGAGAGGATAGCGACGATGGTGGCGTACATGGCTGCGTTGCCGCTGTTATCGGAGTGGTATACCGGAACGCTGAACTGTCTGAGGAGGTACGCGAAGTCTGCGTCTGTGTGGCGCGTGATTTTAGACTGCTGGGGTATGATTTGCGCATCGAGAGACGCTACCGTAGTGTCTAGGAGGAACGGGTCGAAGTCAAACGCCATTTTGCGCACCCTGCTGATGCTGCTGTTGGAGCCAAAGGACATGTATATGATAGGTCGGTAGCCAGAGTCCTCGTTCTGCTCGTCCATGGGCTGGCGCCAGATCTGCTGGAGTAGGGAGAGAGCTTCTTCTTGGGAGACATAAACCGTGGTGCCGAAGTGGAAGGGGTCGAGACCGGTGTCTGTAGAGTCCAGGTGCGCAGTGGAGCGGATGACAAGGTGTAGACACCATACTTGGCGTAGCAGGTCTTCTGCGTGCGGGCCAGCCATGACAGGCTGCCCTTGATTGATGCTAGATCGGTCGTAGGTGGTGATTCCTAGCTCGGTGAGGCGATACGGTGGGTGAGCTGACCACTTGCGGTGGAGGACGACGAGGACAGCGTCGCGAAGTAGGTTTGGAGCAGTTGTCGACGTTCCGAGGTATTTGTGCAGGACGTCTTTGTCTGGAAGCTGGGCCAAGACGCCGCGGAGGGTTGCTAGCTTTGTTGACGTGGATTTTGACATGGCTTTGGAGCTGCGCGATGTCCATGGGCAGCAGCAAATGAGGGTTAGGAGATTTGTGTAGGTGAAGCTGTCGTCCGTTGGACGCGGCGCTCTGGGACGAGTCTAGTGCCATTAAATTTGAAGGTGAAGGTGAAAGTAGATGTGAACATGAGTATGAGATTGACTTAGGTTCTGGTTTTCGCGGTCTGCTGCTGCCCAGCGCAGCACATCTTTCTCGTTGCATTCGATTGAAGTCATGGCCTCGTGTAGCCATTACCAGCGTATTTGATTCAAGCGTGAGTATTTTTGACTTTTTCTCATGCCGAAGGAGAGTGTATGGCATCTTGTTGCAAAATGATCGCGTACGCCATGATAGATCACGGCTTTATTCACTCTTGACTTCATCGTCGACACGTTTTGGTGACTCACAGGGAGCTGTGACAGCTGATTGCAATTTTTGGCTAACGAAAGCTCATCGACCTGCACAGAATTCTGCCGCTATGATGGGTGTGCCCGAAAAGACGACCTTGTGCTCTTCCTTGCAGAGAAAAGAGGAGAGAGCCCTGGAGGTGATGGGATTTCCCGAGGTCGGCTCAGCGGCTAATCCGTGAAGGGCCTAGCTCCCGACACCCTTGTAATCCCAGCGCATCCCCGCCATAGCTCCGCGAACCCTCAGAATCTGATCTCTTCAGCCTCATCATTGTCCATCGTCGACATAGCCCGCCCACCAAACTTCTATTATGTCGTCAGCGCCACCCAGAACCATGATTGATCTTCCGATTGAACTCATCGAGCTGATCGGAATGAATCTCATTGAGTATGCTCCATACAACGATTCCGTCGCACCAGTCATACCGCGATTACTCGTGGGGAGTTGCCAGGCAGTGTACAACACCCGTCTAGCATGTCGGGGTCTCAATAACGCTTTGAAAAAAGCGTTCCTAGAGGTCCTACATGATGTACCCTTCCAATGCACTGAGGAGCATCTGGGCCGTTTGACGCGATTGTTGCAGCTTCCCTGGGTGTCGCAGTCGTTCAAACAGCTCACTATCGGCGGTGCCAAGATAGCCAAAACACCCATACAACGATCCCGGGTGGTCTGGATACAGGACCATCTGGCGGACGCTTTCAAGACAATTCTCAGCATTGCGCCTCGTTTGGAAAGCATTAGATGTGTCCCAATCTTTGAGTCTTTTAAGCCAAACGATCCCCGTGACGCTTACGACAAAGATACCGCCGACGAAACTATTCGCGAACGAAGGCAGGGTCCCTTTCGTTCTGTAGACATCTTTGGAGTACGTTAAAGCACCCATCTTTTCCACAGATAGTCTCAAAATAGAGGCTAACACGTGAACGTAGAAACTTTACACATCGATACACGAAAGCGGACACGCGGAAGCTCTTAGGTCGCTTTTATTAGGATTCGACTACAAGGGAACACACAGAGTCTCAGCACCGTATGAGATATCGTACCGCGGTCGAATAAAACTCTCCCCGTTCCTTGCGAAACCACTACCCCATCTCCAACACCTCGTCCTCGACTTGGGATGTCTACGATCCGGCGCTGGCATTTCCAGTTCGACCCGTATGCCAGTCCTGGAGTCGTTGACGATCGTATACACAACGTTCCACAATAACAGCGAACGGAATGTCGGGCCGTGGCCGGAGGGAAACCTGGACCTTCTGGCAAAGACTCAACCTCGACGGCTCGTGCTCACCAGCTATAGGTACATCACTCGAGAGGTACACGAGCCTCGAGAGAAGATTCTTGCTATTGTCCGTGCATTCAGCCACAGGCAAGGGCCACTACCGTGCTTGGAATTGCGCGACATGGATGTCGAATTGGATTACCATCGGGACGAACGGCCGATGCCAGCAGATACTTGGAAGTTCCCGGGGGACTTTCGCATCGCAGAGTTGAAGATTGCAAACGTGACGTGGTACCGACATGTGATCCATCGTGGCAGGTCAGAGCGCCGTGGCTGGTGCGAGACGGGTTGGGAACTGTTTCCTCAAATTTGTGACGCGTCAGATGTCGTACGTGTACGCGTGTGTGACGGGTCGGAGCCCATTGAAGAATGCTTTCTCGAAAGACCATATGAAGATTTGCATATTGATGGCAATAGCACGGATCATGATACCGAGACAGATCGCAGCACCACCGAAGACGGATTCGATGATTCAGATCGGTCCACAGACGAAGATGAAGATGACGACGAAGACGAAGACGAAGACGAAGACGAAGACGAAGACGAAGACGAAGACGAAGACAAAGACGAAGACGAAGACGAAGACGAAGACGAAGACAAAGACAAAGATGAAGATGAAGACGATGACAATGACGCAATGGACGAGGCATAGGCTATGATGGTTATGCATAGCCACTGCTTCCGATTTGATACAAGGAGTCCATGTGCATAGTGTTGGCGCAGCTTTACGTTCGGTGACAGCTTCAACCTCCGCCAGGCTTCTTCAGCGCACCACCAAGAATACTCGGATCAAGCATCTTGGCTTCAGGCACGTCGACACCACATCGCACCCACATGCTGCTCCAAAGCGCACCAACTGCTCTTTCTTCGGGCATGAAAACGACCGTGTTCACGTACGATCGTGTCGTGTTATAGCAGTCTGGCATGTTGAAGAGTTGCGCCTCGCAGTTGTCGCCTTTGTTCGAATAGAACACGCCACATCGCGCTTCGCTTGGAAGAGTGATGCATGTACCGTTTTTCCATGTTTCGAGAGGTGGTGGGAAGTACGTCTTCTGTAAGAGTTCGCCGCGGCAGTGCTTAGGGCCGCCTGCACCGGAGTATGTAAGGGCGAGGATTGGTATTTGTGGGGCTGCCGGCGGTCGAGGCTTAGGCGCGACGGACGGTTTTGGCGTAGCAATAGGCCCCAAGACACCTTCAGCACTCCAACTCGCGCTCGTTTGTGGTTCCGGTGTGAAGCCAATCATCCCGTCCTGGGTTTCGGTCATCGTTGTGGGTACGAGCGTTGCGCCAGACACGATGCTGCTCCCGTTGTACACATCGCCGCGGTCGAAGTCCGTGCCGTTTAACAGCGCCTTCGCCGCGAAGAAATCATCGCCATCTCCGACTCTTGCAGCTTGCGCGAGGTTGATCTGTATGACTGGTGTGGTAGGTGCGCGTACTTCGATGGCAGTCGCTAGCGAAATTGCGATGAAGAGGAGGAGGGAGACAGACGATGCGATGAGGATGATGCGTCGCGGTATGGACGACATCGCGATGGTATTACATTACTTTTGGAGATTTGGGAGGTTGAAGGGGTATGCGACAATGTCGAAGTTCGTGGGCGACGCCAAGAAAGCATCGGGGGTTGCTACACTACGCGTTTCATCCCCAAGTCCTCTCCAGACATCGTCGCAGGCATGTAGGCAACTTTCCCACACTTCCCTGACAGCTGTATACACGTTCTTTACTTCATTTGGACATGTGATCTTGCGCGAGTGTGCAATCTCGATAGAGCAGCGGCTTAGACCGACATCTGTGGTTCAGTCACGATCCATCCCCTGACCCTTATACAGCTCGGTACCAGCCTTTGTGGGCTATTGCTTGGATTACACACCTTGTTTACATATAGGCTTTCCATTGTCGTGTAGCGAAAGCTGCACTAACGATTCGATATTCTGGTTCCAATGAATAGGGTAACGGCCGTCTTCCACTCCACGAAAAAGTGAGAGATTCACTGGAATGACCGCCATTGGTCCAAGCTCATGACAATCATTCTAGATATTGACGTGTAAACACAGATCACTGAGTACTAATCTTCCGATCACTTGCTGTTGCCTAAGCACTGGTCTGTCCCCTGAGCGATTTATGTCTCGGTTATCTCCTGTCAACCGTACTTAGCCACCCTCAACCCATAGACCCGTCTACCTTAGACTATTACCCTCGATATCGACGATTAACCTACGCCGAATTCATCTACACCTCGATGAAAGTAGGCGCGGTCGAGACCCCGTCCTCGATTCCGGACATGGCTGCCGAGCTCGTGGACTCAAACCGACGAGCGCTGGCGTTAGCCCTCAAGAAAACCGAAGCCAACAATTCGAACACGTCTGCCGCTCGACTTGAGATGATGAAAGCCGAGTCTAGATTCCAATCGCTGAAGCGTCGTCAAAGGGCACTACGTTATGAAGAATATACTGCTGCTAAACGATACGGCCAGTCTTGGTGTCAAAGCCTGTCTCAAGGTCTCTTTGATAAGCTCCCTCGCGAGTTGCGAGATATGATCTACGACCACCTTCTCCCTCATTCAGCAGAAGTGTCACTCCTGGGTCAGGATTGGCGCGTTTCCTCCGGCCCTAGATGGACGTTCAGCTCGTGGAACGACAGTGAACTCGATCCCATCCCTCATTATCTAAGGAGTGAGTTTATGGGCACGGCGTTTCAGAAAGAGATCTTGCAAGAACTCCACAGACGCGCAAAACATAGTATTTACCGCCCAAATGATGTGGAAGAGTTTCTGGAAAATGGCCTGCCGCTAGCATCGCTTCCGCTCCGGGCTTTCGACTTCGTGCGCTCACTCACTGTGCTGCTATCCTTTCAACCCCATCAGGACGTCAACAAACTCACTTGGCGCAGAACGGGACAGTTTGAACTTAGGGGACACCTTAAAGGAGATCCTCAACACTTGGAATCTGTCGCTACCGAGGGTGACTTCAACACAAAGGTCAAAGCGCTTGCTGTTATCGCCAAGATCAAGCAGTTGAACAAGCTCGAACTGCATATCTTGATTCTCACCTGGACCCCTACAGGAGCGAGAGGCTTTGAGCGAGCTCTGGTTCCTTTTGTGCACGATCTGCAGGACCGCGGAGTGAAGGTTGACGGGGAAGTTCAGTCATATCGACGTGATTCCCGTCGTAACACTGATATATACTCTAGCTGGAAATGTGACTTTACCCGTCCGGAGTCGCGCTAGAAAAGCTACTGACTCCAGACTGGTGCCTTAGTAAGTAACTAGCCTCATGAATTCGTTTCAGACGCTTATCTTTCACAACTAGAACCTGTCTTGCATACATTGCGACTGTCGATATTGTCGAAGCTCAATTTGTGTCGCTCTGGCTCAACATAGCAATGTAGTCTCTGCGCAGTCAATTATCGAGAGATGAGTTAGGACTGTGCTCATGGTATGCTCTCGCCTGCCGTCTGATGACAGCATCGGGTAGAAAAGCTCTTGATGCATGAGACAGTACGACGAAGGTCTCAACACACGAGGCTAGCAATGTATGCGCTGCTTGCCCATAGGTTGAGCGCATTGGGTATGTAACATGAACAATATTCACACCAATATAACAGCTGTTTGACCATGTGATTTAGTTGTTGATTGCATTGCTTCCTTCTACGTACAGCTACAATGACAATGTGGACCCGAACGTAAATATTGAAGACGTACTACATTTCGAAGATGATATACAGGCCATGCACGAGCCCTGTACCATGCGAAATGTAATGATGCGACTTCCTTCCGATTCCGCCGAGTTTTGCCCAGCCCCGTCGCACTGTAGGCCCATCAAATATATATGTGTATGGCGTTCACATCCCGCTTTTTAGTTGACATTCTTCTGGAGTGTTAGTAGACACTTTTCGAAGCTAATCCCGATGACAACTTACAAACGCATCAGCGACCAAGCTCTCCAGCTGACGTGTGGAGAGAAGCATAGTACTGTCATAAATGACTTTTTCCCGCTCAGTTGGGTATTGGTACATGTTCGCGCTGATGTACCGAACGGTCACCTTGCAACCCTTTTCCACAAGCTCTTGGATGTGCGGAAGCAGCACTGCTTTGTATTTACTAACTGTCGACGAGTGTAGGACTTTCACCTTGAGCTTGAGTGTAGATTTTGATACCTGATCAAGCCCCTTGAGGGTCGTGAGCCAGCTCAGCTGACTCTCGTAGTTTTCCCTTTTCCAGTTGTCTTCTTCCTTGCTGTACCAGATCCCTTCATTGGAACAGGCGATGTCCATAGACACAGTTAATTTGAGCGTTCGGATGTAATGTTTGGGTTGACAGGATGGATGAACAATCAAAGGACCATCTCTCAAAAATTGGGCGACGTCCTTGACATGTCGCACCTTATAGATGGCATGACGGTGGAAGATCTGGGCGATTTCCACGGCGAATTCCTCACCCACGAACTTATCTCGAAAGTAGTGTGTGATTTCATCGTCGTTACCACGGCGTTGACTCCGTCCGCGACGGTCGATGGGTTGAAGGTGAAAGAAGTGATCGTTCATTGTGTTTGCCGGCAGAGGGACCTCAATTGGATAGATGGTGGCACTCGGAGAGTCGCCAATAAGGTAAAGGTAGACTTCGTCTCGCAGCTCCCGAGCGGTGACTAATTCCAAGAAGCGTGCGGTAAATTGGCGAGTCCATGCGCGCGAGCAGTCATCGGTTAACTTCTTATACTTACTAAGGAGAAATGTTATGTCAGCCGTCGATCCATGACGCCGGGCGGACCTGCACTTACGTTTCCAAACCCTGCTTCTCATGTTCAAGTGCACTTTGCGTAGTTCGAAGCGCATCTAGCTGCTTTTGCCGCTCTTCGATCTCTCTGGCAGTGGTATCACTTCTCCAAAGGTTTCATTAGCTTCCTACCACAAAGACAAAAGGATTTTCTTACATCTTCTGAACTTTCTGCAATTTCTGTGCAAGGCTGCGAGATTGTCAGATACTGTAATGCTAATCGTGGGTATCTCTCGTTCTAACTTACAGCGAAATTGCCTGAGCCCTGGTGGTGAGTCGATCCTTCGGGGCCATTCTGTGAATGCTCCTTTGTTCAGGTAGTGTAGTGGCAAAAGTTGAAACGGCAGAGATATCCCGGATGATTGGGTTAAACTATATAGATCTATCGCGATGTACAGTTGCAGTGTGCTGAGTGTGTAACGTGACAGGGCCGCAAGCTAAGTAGGTGCATGCGTACCATGGTTTAGGCAAACACTGGGCTTGACGGAAGTGCGGGCGGCGTGAATGATTAGTCCAGTCTGGACATGACGCTTTTCGCAAAATGGACTAGATTGGGGAGAATGAGACAGCCCAGCGGACATAAGCACTCGTTCAAGTATCCCCACCCTCAGCCTTCTCCTTCGCCTTATCCAAATCCAACGGCACCCTAACAACAATCTTCCCCCTCGCCCTCCCCGTCTTCAACTTCTCAAACGCCTTCGGCGCATCCTCCCACTCAAACACCTCATCAACCACAGCCTTGACCTTCCCCCCCTTCATCCACCCACCGATCTGGCCCAGCGCATCCGACGACGGCTTCGCCATCAATAACTGATAGCTGTTCTTACCGCCGCCTAGGAAACCAGGCAACAGCATGTTAGATCCCACATTCTTGATACTGGCAACATTCATCGTCGCGCCGATCTGTACGAACTTGCCGGCTGGAGTGAGGAAAGCGGATGCGGCTTTGTAGAGGTTGGGTGGTGTGCCGATGTTGTCGACGACGAGGGTGTAGATCTGGCCTTTGGAGGAGAGTGTTTCGATAACATCGCTGGTTTTGTAGTCGATGACTTCGTCGGCGCCTAGGCTCTTGCAGAGGTCGACGTTGGGTGTTGAGCAGGTGGTCGTCACGTGGCAACCCAGCGCTTTCGCGATCTGGATGCCGTACACACCGGTCCCGCCTGAGCCGCCGTTGATGAAGACTTTGTCGCCGCTTTTGACGTTTGGCGCAATGGCTTGGTATCTGAAGATGGGGTTAGCATGACTTTCAGCTTCCTAGTAGCCTGCGCGGCCTTACTCGGTCAGCCCCACGATGCCGACGCCTGCTGCGTCTTCGACTTTCACGCCTTCTGGTAACCTTGCCAACATTTGTCTATCCACGGCTACGTATTGCGCCATGCTTCCTCCCGTCAGCGCACCGACCTTTGCGCCAAAGACGAATTCGCCAATCTGGTACTCGTCGACTTTCTTGCCTACTTTGGCGACTTTGCCGCAAAAGTCGGCACCGGGGGTGATATCGGAGCCTACAAGTCGCAGAGGCATTGGCCCTTCGGTGACTTTGTGGTCGACGGGGTTGATCGCCATGGCGTGAACTTGGACCAGAATCTGCTCATCATGAAGCACTGGTTGTGGCGCGGCCTCATTGATCTGAAGGTTCTTCTCGATGCCGCCTTTGGTGCTGTTGTACTGCCAGGCCCTCATCGTGGACGCCATATTGCTGTTTGATCTGAACGGAGCTTGTCGAGATAAATTTCCGATAGATTTGATGCCGCCGATGCGCGCTGTCCTTGTTATCTTATAGCGTGGAAACAGGCATGCGTCATGACGATTTGCGTTGAGCGGGGCAAGCGCCACCACCGCCTGTCAGCACGAGCTTTGTGAGTAGACACCCATGTATCGAAGCTCCTTTCAAGCGACCGAAGAGATCGCGCAGATGGAGCCTGGGTAGGACACCTACATCGTGGAATCCATTTAGGTGGGTATGCCTCTTTGCCCAATGGGTTGGCTTACTTGCGCTCGGTCGATCAAGGGGCATGCCCACATTGTCACCTAGCCCGATCGGGCGCAATCTGCGCAGCGGCAGCAGGCTCATCATGAGTTCCGAAAAGAGATCAATATCAAGATATGGGATATGAGCGAGATCATGCTTGTGTCACGATGGATTTTCAATTGATCTGTCCTGCACATCAATGTGGAGTTGGAGGCCTAACAGCCGCAGCTCAGGCTGCCCTTTCGCCCTGCATGAAGCCTCTTACGCGTATGTAACAAACATCTGCTCAAAGCCGGTGACGTTCCACATGCCAGTAATGGTGTTGAGCGTCAAGTTGGTTGGGGTTGTGGGACCACGTTGGAGCGCCCCACTCTCGACATGACCGCCTGCAGCAACTACAGTTCCGTTCGTCCTTTCCAGATGGTTGGCACCAACCTTGACGGTAAAGTTCGCAAGACTGATATCGAAGGGGTTGCGAGATGCGACGGATGGCGAGCCTGGGTTTAGTCAGTATATGAGTTGCTTCACACTGCAAAGGTGCGATGGGTAGACTTGCCGTAGTACTGCGCATTGAGCTCCTCGGGCGATATGAATAGCTCGTAATAACCTCTATAGTAGCCCTCAGTCCACTGAAGCTCCCGATTATCACGCACGAGCGCTGCGGACCGGTCACTCGAATTCGCAATAGACCTACCAGCGCCATAACCGCTGGATGAAACGGCCGTGCCAGCAAACTCGACGCCGATGGCACCAGCACCGGTCGCCTGGTCGTATGGGGTCTCGTCGAGCCAGACAAGATCAGACACCCAGTTGGCATGAGAATCGCCAGCCAAGAACGCAGTGTTCGGGATCTCGTTGCTGTAAAGGTGATGAAGTGTGCGGTTGCGGTTGGCGGTGTATCCGTCCCACTGATCGGCGTTCAGCTCGTTGCTGTAAACTGCGCTGTTGTTCATTCGGGAGAAGATGATCTGGTTGCCAATGATCCTCCAGGTAGTACCGCGTTCATGCGACTCGGACAGCTGGTTGTAGAACCAGTGTTCCTGGCGGCTACCCATGAGCGAGCGGCCAGCGTCATCCTTGAGCTCCTCGATGTAGTCGTCGTTCCAATTCAGGGTCGTGATGGATCGATCGTAGTTGCGAGTGTCGAGCATGATCAGGTCAAAGAGTTTGCCCATCTTGAAGTTGCGCCAGATGCGAAGGTTGTCATCCATGTCGACCTGGCGAATGCTGCGGCCGTCATTAGCAGAATCAGTGATGATCAAAGCGAGATACGTACGGCATCCACTCGAAGTAGGCGCGAACAGCGTTCATCTTCCTGGAGTCAACGCTCACTCCTCCGAACTTCTTGAAGCTTTGTTCAGTGTTGTTCATGCCGCTAAAGCCATCGCGATAACCGTTGTTCGCGACCTCTGTTCATCCGTTAGTTGAGTAGAGGAGTGCCACGCTAAGCAACATACCATGATCATCCCATGTTGGAATCCAAGCAAAGTTCTGGTGAGCAAGGCGAAGGTCGTCATCAGTGCGATACTGGCCAATGCGCGTTCGGTAGTCTTTGAGACGAATTAGTAGCTGTGGGATCCAATGACCAGTTGCTTACGGACCGTAAAGTGTGACGATCTCCCGCGACGGGTTCGTGGCGCGCGGGTCTTGGCCGAGCTTGCCCTTGGTGGACTCATAGATGTAATCACCAAGATGAACCTTCATCGCCAGATTAGCAGAATCACAAATGCGCGTCATCATCATACTTACGAAGAAGTCAACTTGATCTTTCCTAGCAGCATTGCCGTACGCGTTGAAGTAACCGTTCTGCCAGTTGGAACAGGAGAAGATAGCAAGACCAACTTTGGAAACATCGTCGTCTTCGTCGGGGCTGGTCTTGGTCCTGCCGAGTGGGCTCTTGTTGGAGCTACCACAAACGTTGAACTGGTAGTAGTACTGGGTGAATGGGGACAGGTTCTTTGCTTCAATCTTCTCAAAGTTAGCTTATCACTCGACATACCCGTGGCTTAGATCTTACCTTGACGGTGAAGTCGATGTCGGAAGTGGTGTATGCTTGGCCTTGATCGACAATGCTGGAGAAGTTGCCGTCCGTACCAACGCGGTAGTCCACGCAAATAGGGTTAGGTGAAGCCTTGATGTACTTCTCTGTCTCGTGGTTGTAGAAAGCTACATTACCCGTAACAGTCACGTTCGATCTGTCGTTCTCGAGAGATGGCGCAATGCGTGTCCAGAGAATGACAGAGTCGGGATAAGGATCTCCAGAGGCGACGCCGTGCGTGAAGCTTAGCTGAGCCGGATCCCACGGAGTCGCCCGCTTGATGAGGCTTCTCTTCGCGACCTTCGGCACATCGATGCCAAGGCCCTCGTGTCGGCGAGAAGGCGAGTGGTAGTTCAGGTTGCCATCGAAAGATGCACACACGAGCGAGGCTAGAGGCGCCGCTGCAAGAAGGATTGAAAGCATTGCGAGGATCGAAGAAGCTTCGGTGACTCTCTTCTTAGTTTTCAAAGTCCCGAGACTTCAGAAAGCTTAAGTACTTCCATCGCACTTCAACGTGCCGTCCTTCGGGTACAATTTCATCGCCTTCGTACTACTACGGCCGCCAACATTACCGCATCGTGCATTCAGTACAGTTCTGACAGCAGCTGTGGCCAATCGCATAGAGTGCATTGTAAGTGTGTAAAAGAGTGCCTGTTGATCGTCAACCGCGACATATGCACGATGCGCATGTGCCGGGAGGATGAGCTGAGATTGGCCGAGCGCGACTTCATCCCGCTGGACAGGCTAGCCCGTTGTGGGGATATGCAGCACGTCGAACGTCGTTGATCCTGGCATGACATACAGTGCGTGAGGAGTCAACGCGACGATGCGGAACTGTAAGGTGCAGTTCTTGGGGTGACAGGAGAAGAGGGGTGGAGGGTTACTTGGCTTTCCAGCTCCCCGGGGCCCAGTCCGCGGAAAGAGATGGCGCTAAGATTAGAAGGGTTTAGCGCCAACCGTGCCGCATGCTAGCCCTGGAGAACTCCATCGTCCATTCCTTCGACACCCACCCCGTCTAGCTTTCCGGAGAACTCCTGGAACTCTCTCTCCTTCCTGACCTACACTTGCTGTACGTACGAGTTGCAGTGCAGATTTTGCCTTTCTTTCGATGCCCAATTTTCCGCTTCTAAAGCGCTTGCTTGCTTCTCTATCTTGATTCAACCAATCATTGCATCGTTCACACCCCGCCGTACACGTTCCCGTGTTATCCACGTTGCATCGTCGGAACTGCCATTCGCGCAAGAGCTATCACGGCATCGCTGATGTCGTTGTACCTATACCGACCACGGAATGTTTAAACACGGAACATTACTGCTGCGTGGGAAGCCCCCCGGCTTGCCTAGACCCTTCACGCTATGCAATGCGGTACCGCTTCATAAAAGTACCAGTCCCTGTCTTCTTCCTGGAGTTCGTATGAAGCACACCATCTTCTCCAGGGAGGTGTATCAGCCTTTACCCTTTTCCAACCGGCGTGAGCTCCGGGACTATTACATTACGAAAGAAATGAAGACTAGAACGATCTACATCTGCGGACCCAAATTTGCCATTGAGCAGGATTATCGGCGATTGTTAGAGGATCATGGGTTGAACCCGGGGATGATTCTGTCGACCTATACCTGGAAGGGGTTGACTAGAGGGGTTTACGCAGTCATGCCTACTGTGGAGGATGCGGCCCGAGCCGTCGCAAAGGTCGAAGGTGCACTCCTTTTTGACACCAAAGTCCTTGTTTGGCCCTATCCTGATGAAGGATTCTTGGACTCCAAAGTCTATCAGTTCGAGTGGGGCTGGTATGCTACGAGTGGGCCAGGCATCGAGAATATACGGTTGCGTGCACCTTTACTGTCCCCACCGGTCGATATATTTAGGCCGATTAAGGAGGGTGCGTTCTGCCTCCGTTGTGAAAGCAAATAAGCGTTGACTAATTTGGTTCAGCCCGCCAAGTAGTTGTGAAAAGTTGTCAGGGGTACTTTCACGACGTAAAAGCCAGGGGCTTGCAACTGGAATTTTATAATCTGTTTCATTCTTTTGATGTGGAGTGCTTTGAGATGAACAAGCTGACATCGGGGGAATGGTTTATAGTTCTCAATTTCGTTGATGCTGAGCAAGCAGAGATTGCTCGAACGACGTACAGCACGTATACGTTACCGAGCGGTAATCGAATCAAGTGTGCATCTAACAGGGTGCCGAAGCGCTTTCTAAAAGATATGCCTTGGGAATCCAGTCGGAGTGAAGGGTGAGTCTCTTACCCGCACAGTTTTGGCCGCGATACTAATGGTGTCTTCACCAGGCGTGAGTCCCACTCCGAGCGAGGTCTAGTCACGGGTAAAAACCTCGAGCATGTAAGCCATCATCCTTTTACTGTCACCGCTCTTCAATAAAGTGAAGTCGACATTGCTAACCCAAACGATAGCTGCAAGAGGATGTGTTTCGCAAGTGGTTGTTGGGCAAGAACGATCGAGGTCTCTGGGTTCCTGGGTATGATTATGACAGTACAGCTGATTTATTCGTGACTAATGGCTGCAACAGGCACAAATACTAGACATGAATGTACATGATCTCCATAAAGATAATACATCCCGCTAGTCAACCTTATAAACAAGCTTAACACCAGAAACCTTCCCATCCTTTAAATCCTGCAACCCCTGCGGCACACCCTCCAACCCACTCCTCACCTCAATCGGATGCGTCTTCAGCTTGCCTTGGCCAAACCACTCCTCAGCCTGCTTCCAGAACCTAGCACCAAACTCGTAATCCTCTTGACTGGCGCCAACCTTCTCGCTGTACGCTTCACCCAGCGCCGTGTAGGCAAAAGTGAACTTGGTCTTCACATCGCTCCTCGGGTAGTTGTTCACAGGCAGAAGAGCAGACATGTGACCGCCGGTGGAGCTAATAGCCGCAGCGGTGATGTCGAATGAGTTTCCTTCGGCGATGCAGTCAAAAGCCAGTTTGAGTTTGTCGTTGGTAGCTTCGCGGATCTTAGCGCCCACATCTGCGTCTTTGTAGTTGAAGACCTGGTCCGCGCCTAGTTTGCGGAGGAGATCGAAGTTGTGCGGTGAGGATGTCGCAATGACTTCGCAGCCTGTGTGCTTTGCGTATTGAATGGCGAGGGTGCCTGTTGCGGTGGAGCCGCCGTAGATGAGAACGGGAGTTGGTGATTGGACCTTTGCGGGTGGGAAGGGTAGGCCGAGTTCTTGGTAGAGGCCTTGGGCTACGGTTGTGACGCCGACGCCTAGAGTGGCGGCATCTTCGAAGGACATGTTGGAAGGAATCTTGAGATTGATTCCGGTCTTGGCTTTGACGTGCTCGGCGAAGGCGCCGTTGGAGTGGTCGGCTGGGTCACCTGGGATGTGTTAATAACCAGCTTCGTTGTTGTTCAATGGTGATCGTACCTCCGCGAACAAATCCAGCAATGCGGTCTCCAACCTTGTAGTGTGTTACATCCTTGCCAACTTCCTCAACTTCACCAGCATAATCGCATCCAGCAATAGCACCCGGCGCCGCGGCCCTATCGATGTTCTTCCAATCTGTCGGGTTTAGCGCTACAGCTTTCGTCTTGACCAGGAGCCAATTCTCAACCGGAAGCTTAGGAATAGGGACGTCATTGCGCAGTTCAGATACGCCTTCAGAGACGTGTACAACTGCTCTTTGTGTAGACATGCTGCGTGTGTGAAGGGAACTTGGGAGTCTGGTATGTAAGTTTCGGAATTTGGTGAGATGGGTGAAGATTGTTTTCATCGTTTATAAAACTAGACTGATTGAGATCCATTTCTGCTATGATGCAAGATGTACTAGTGGATTTGTAATGGGAGGGGACTACCGCGTCATGCAGCCTTCTTTAGGACTACCCGTGGACGGGCGGAGCGGAGTATGTTCGGCGAATTCTGTGGAGCATGCTGAGTATACCGAATTTGTATCTGGCGATTGATTGTAGAGTGTCGCAAGTATCGACATAGCATGACATGGCTTTTGATACGATATGTGTGTGGTGAATGTGAGAAGACCGTTGTGGTAGTCGGTGACGGCAGATGTGAGTTGGAGGGTCCAAGCTCGGGCTCTGCGCTAAAGCCTGGCGCAAGGGTCCAGTATCGCGACAGCTTCACGCGCAGATGCACTACTTCAACACTCTACGGACAGTCCGTCTGAAGCTTGCCAGTGCATAATTGTGTATTGCTATCATGGACGAACCTCAGCGACCGCCAACGCCTGATGACGAAGACATCAAGCTCAACTTCTTCCCCGACCCCCCGCCTTTCTACAAGCACTTCACCACCGAAAACCTCGCGCGACTCAAAAAAATTGAGAAGGAAGCTGCGCCCGAAGATGACGAAACGAAATCCTCGCCCTCGTATCCAGCGACGAAGCTTAGCGCAGAGCAAATCCTCGCCTTACCGACCGAACTCCGCTACCTAATCCCACCCGAACCGCCTGCCGACGATGCCGAATTCCACGTTTTCGGTACAAAAGAAAAGGCAAAGGGCAAAGACGTCTTCCAGCAAAACATGGATTTCATAGCCGAGCAGCTGAAATGGCAAGACGTCTTCCCAGACTGGACATACGAACAACTCTACCCTTCCTCCTCCACCGAGCTCACGACCGACGACCCCTCTGCGCAACCACCTACGGCGAATAACTCTGCGTCTCTCGATCGGCAAAACTACCTCTTCCGATTCCTACGCAGCATACTCATGAGTTATATATCGCTACTCGGCATCGTGGCAGCGAACCCGACGTCAGAGCAGAAAGAGCAGAAACTCAAGGATATCATGACGCTGGTAGCGAATATGCATGCGCTTATAAATGAGTACCGGCCGCATCAGGCGAGGCAGACGCTCATTGCGAAGATGGAGGAGCAGGTGCGCAAGAAGAGGGAGGAGGTCGAGGGTGTGAGGAGGATGGGGGAGAAGGTCAAGGAGGTGCTTGCTGGATTTGGTGGGGTGGACGGGGAGGATAAGGCGGGCGAGGGTGGTGAAGAGAGTATAGAGGACGGTATGAGGGCGAGGGAGGAGGACAGAAGACGCGTGCAGAGGGGCATGTGGGAGGCTATTGGTGAGGTTGTGGGATAAGACGCGCCATATCAGGCAATTATCACGACGAATGTCACTGTTACACAAGGCAGCGGAAACTGGTGTCTGCTGTCGACGCGCTATCGACACACGAGTTCTGCACGTCACATAACGCGTCTCCCGCATCAGCGCAAAGAATCGTCGGGGTGTCTTTGATCAACATCGCAGACGTTTGACTTCATACCCACTGCGCCTATCATACATCGCAAGCAAGTAACCGCACTGCCGGGTCCCGCGTGGTGCTGGACATCCATCCATGGACTGCTTGAAGACACACCGTCTATATTTACTCCCATAATGGGTTTATCTTCCACATACGACCATAGGATCTTGAACTCAGCGCTTCCCGTTCGCTCAGCGGTACTTAAGCAAGATACCGGCGCATTAGTACTCGGGTGGGTGACCACCGGGGAATACGCGCTGTTGTATGTTTTTGGCCATTTGGGCTATTTTTTTGCTACCTTGGCGACTCTGGCCATGACGTCATGGCACTTGCCGTCCTGCAGCCTTCCAGGAACACCAATCCAGAACCTCCCCAGGGCTGGCCTACGATCGTTCTCAGCCACGTCCAAAGCCACATTTTTTTACTGATCAGCTGTTCCTCCGTCGTTCATCTCATTGTTTCGGAACTTCCCGCTGTCGCATGCGCCGGTTAATGTTGTGCTTGTGACACCGACGTAAGGCTGAACGGATCCCAAGGTTGGCACGCGCTCAGCCCTGGTGCGCAGACCGCCAAATACTCGATAAAGAAGGCAACCACAGCTGAGTTTCTGGGCGAGTTCAGCCTCTGACCGACTCTCCTTCAGCCTACAAACGCCTAGAGATAAGCAAGTAAGACGGGGAGGACTGCTATTTATCCACACGCGACCGCGTCGTTTTCATCAACTCTTTACGCGCTTCTTTGGTTTATCATTTCACCTTTCGTTAACCTTCTGGTCTGCGCTGCGCGCAACCTTTCCTTACCAACTCTTCGCCATGCCTTCCACAACTTCAAAGAGGCCCAGCAAACGCCTAGCCATTTTCTGCGACGGAACATGGGTAGGTCGCGAAACCCAAGTCGAAGACGCGCCTCCAAGCAACATCCGCCAACTCGCCAACATGGTCGGCGAAGTGCAATACTCAACCGACGACAAGACAGCCGCAAAAGTTCACCACATCAGACCCCACAAGACAACAACCAACAGCAGCTCGACCCCCGACATCATCGCCGGCTACCAGGAAGGCGTAGGTCTTAACAAGACCTTTCTGCAATATATCTGGGACGGCGCAACCGCGTCCACCATCAGCGACGAATGCATAGCCGTATACCGCTTCATCGTCGAAAATTACACGCCCGACCATGAGATCTGGTTGTTTGGATTTAGTCGCGGCGCCTTCACCGTGCGTTGTGTAGCGGGCATGATAAACAACTGCGGCATAATAAAACGGCTCCCGTCATACTCCGACGCAGAAGTCCAACGCCTCTGCTACGAAGTCTTCCGCACATACCGCAGCAGCCTCCCTGTCGACGCCCCCAAAAGCGAGGAATGCCAAAGATGGAAAGGCCTCGGCGATAGAGTGTGGCAGGTCAAACGGCCAATCCGGTTCCTGGGTATCATAGATACAGTCGGCGCACTTGGTATCCCGCGCCTGAATGCCGGAATAGGATTCGACTGGTCGCCCTTTGAGTTCTTCGATCAAACCGTTTCAAGCGTCGTACAGCACGTGTACCACGCGCCCTGTCTGCACGACCGCCTTTGGATCTTCCAGCCGTGCCTCGTGTACCCCAACGAAGACGACGAAGAGGAGAAGGACAGAGCCGTAGTAAACCAACGCTGGTTCCCAGGTACCCACTACGACGTCGGCCGCATGACCTTCCGCTTCGTGCGGCAAAGCCCCGCAAACTGGATCGAAGATGCGCTGGGTTGGTTGCCAAATCTCCTCTCGCGGACTATCTATCCGAATGAAGTGCTCAGCGATGCGGTGTTGCGGTGGTTAGTACAGGGGGTACGGGATGTAGACAACGACTCTGCAACGCCGTTAATGCCTAATACCGAGCAACACATCTCCACTCTCAGCACGCGGCTTGGCGAATCTTCGTTAGCATTGCCAGAAGAGCCTGCAGCACCGAGTGCACGCACAGGCTCCGGCGACATCTACGGCGACGTCCTCGCCTACGCCCCCGGCGGCGTGCTGTTTAGCGCTATACAACGGACCTCCCGTTCCATCACTAGTGCTCTAAACAACATCTTCCCCCAACTCGGCGACAACCTACAGGGGCTACTGGGTATCAAGACGCTTGTTGGTATTCTGACGGCAACGGCCGATCGACGCATACCGGGGACGCAGGCAGATGTTTATCCGTATATGGAGGAGGAGAGCGTGGTGGTTGAAGGGGGGAGGGAGGTTAGATTTAAGGTGGAGGAGTTGGCTAGACTGAACGAGAAGAATGAGAGGGGGGTGTTGAGGTATCCGAGTCAGACGCTTGAGGCGTTTTTGTTGTGGAAGAGGGTTTTTGGGAGGGAGGAGGATGAGTGATGGATAGGGTAGTGGTAATGAGGGTGTTTTCGGTTTTTCTGTAAACAATGTGGTGGTAAGGATATATATTGTTTCTTAGTTGGCTTCAATATGGCTTCGCTTTACTTGCTCTTGTTCATCTGGAAAGCAGCTTCATTCGAAAACGCCTTCTTATCGACTACTTGATCCCTAGTAAAACATCTATTAGATCCTTTCTATATTCTGAGCATTTACATCATCAACCTTAAAAAGACTCCGTCATCATCATCATCAACAGACCCACTACATCCCCGATAAAACACGATGGAGGCAAGACTTACTTCTTGCCACGGCCTCCGAAACCCCATCGAATCTGATTCGCCCATCTACCCTCAACACCAAGATCATCCGCACACTGCCAGACGAAACCAGGGTTCTTCTGGAACATGCGACCGATGAAGGCGACGTCGAGGTTATCGTTCTCCAGATACCCGTTCGCTTGCTTGCCATCGGTGATGCTGCCCACGGTGCCGACCGCCATCTTGTCTCCCACCTTGTCCTTGACTGCCTTGGCAAACGGCTCTTGGTACCCGGGTCCGCCGTGGATATGCTGTTTCTCGTGAAGGCCACCGGAGGAAACGTCGAGGAGGTCTACGCCCCGATCGGCGAGTATCTCAGCGAGTTTGACGGTCTGATCGACTGTCCAGCCTTCGATACCGGCTTCGTCGAGCCAGTCTGTGGCACTGATACGCAGGACGAGTGGCATATCCTTGGGAATAGTCTTGCGGGTCAAGTCGACGAGCTCAAGGGTAAGACGCGTGCGGTTCTCAAAGGAGCCGCCGTATTCGTCTGTGCGGTGGTTGGAGGCGGGAGAGAGGAAGGTGTGCAGCAGGTAGCCGTGTGCGTTGTGAATTTCGATGGTGTCGAAGCCGATGTCTACGGCACGTTTGACGGCGTCAACGAAGGCTTGCTTGAAGGCTTCGATGTCTTGTTTTGTCATCTCCTTGGGTGTACAGTGCTTGTCGTTGAAGGCGATGGCGGAGGGCGCGTAGACGTTGTCGGGCCAGCCGTTCAGTTCCTTGGTTGCGATGTCGCCTTTGCTGAGCCACGGGGCGACAGTGCTGGCTTTGCGGCCGGCATGCGCGAGTTGGATGCCAATCTTTTGACCTTGAGAGTGTGCGAATTCTACGATCTTGCGCAGAGGCTCCTTTTGCGAATCTTTCCAGAGACCGCAGTCTTCGGGTGTGATTCTTCCTTCGGCTTGTACGGCGGTGGCCTCGACGAATGTCAGACCGGGACCGCGCTGGATGATGCCGCCCAAGTGTGTGAGGTGCCAGGCTGTCTGGTGACCATCTTCGGCGGAGTATTGGCAGAGGGGGGAGAGGGCGAGGCGGTTCTGGATCGTCATGCCGCGGAGCTTGAGGGGCTGGAAGAGCTTGGGGATCTTGGAGCTGCCGTCGAGCATGCCAAGGGCGGTTCCGGCGACGGGCTCTTGTTCGGGAGTGAAGTAGGGGATCTGGATGGGTCAGCTAGGTGAACGCATGGGGCTTGGATGTATGCATACACCAGGAGCGGCCTTGTTTCTCAGCTCATCCTGCTTGGGAACCTGTTCGCTGTTCTTATCCTCGGGGATGTCCTTTGCGATCGCATGATGCGAGTGCGGCTTGTCGGTATCAGCCTCGATTCCCATTGTGGCGGTTGTTGCTATGTAAAATCGGATGTGTGGAGTGTGAGGAGTGTTTGTCGAGAGTCGAAAGCTCAATGAATATAGAAAGATGAGGGTGGGTGGACAATGGCATCTTTATACGCTCATGCCATTCTTCTCGAAAGTACCGGCATGACGTGCATGTTTGGACATTGCTACCACAGAACCCCAGCCGTGGGGCATCTTTGGCGCCCCGCCTTCCTCGTTCGGCATGGCTTGTCACTAGCCGTTCATCATTACGCTGCGTCCTGATTTGTAAGACGCACGTTGTCGCATTCGCCGATAGGCGTCGGGTAGTCGAGTGTGTTGTTGAGGGCGCGCGTACCTGAGCGATGGTTTGCTGTACTTTGGTTGAGCCAGTTAGGAGTCTGCTAGGAAGCTTAGACATGTGCTGACAGAGATAGCCGAGTAACATAAGCAATCCCTCTCATGATCTGCATGCATCCGTCATGCTGTACGCTATATAGCCTGGAGCTTGTTCGCCTCTGCATCGGGATACTTAAGCGTTCGTACGTGTTCGCTACTTACTGAGCTTCACGCAGCATGCCTCAGAAGCTTGAGAGGTATACTTGCATTGCCTTACTAAGCATCATGATATACCCGGCGGCTACTTGGCCATTGCGACGCGGCTCAAACTCGGCCCAAGCCACGCCGCCGAACTCTACCGCTCCAAGCCATTAGTGCTGGAATCGATTCTGTCTCACCGACTTCCCAACACAGTATACCAAGTCTTTTACGCTGGTATTGACCCTGCTAAATATGCGACAAGCGTAGAGCGTAAAGCTTCGTCAACCATGGCGTCTTGTCAAGCTTTCTCTCGTGCGTGTAAGCACTATGTGTGACATAGCCTATCCAGCTTTGAGCACTACCCAATCAACGCACGCGTCGCGCACCATCACGTCTGCCCGTCCAGTCTCGAAGGCCAATTGAGCGCTCGATACCCTGACCCATACAAGTCTTCCGGATCGTCATGGTCGATAACTGGAACCCTCGGATACTTGAGATAGCAATCGAATTGAGCTTCAAGATCAGGCCTGTGCGTCTCGGTCTCTTTCTCTGGTCGAAGCACAGCATAGCTTCGTGTCGCGAATCCATTCTCAACACCTTTACACTCCATGTATATATTCCCTACGCGCCATTCGCTTTCGATATCCGAGTCCGCCATATCATACACGTCTTGTGCGAGTTCTACAGTGGGCTGGACGATGCGAAATCCGTTCAGCTCTTCTTCCCACCGCAGGACTTGCTCTACCAGATCACAGGGATCTTGATTGCGACCGTGTTGAGTTCGCATTTGGTAGCCGTGATCGGGAAACGGTCTTGGGAACCTGACCACCATGAACTTCAAACTTTCCATATCATGTCGGATGGACCTCAATGACCGAAGGATTCGTCGATATGTGCTTTCTGTCGCCAAGGGGCCTTGGATGAACACGGAAAGGCGTTCGAGGTTCGGAAGACTTTGAATGGCTCTGGCGATACTAGGGCTTGGCTCTGATGTTTCGAAAGTCTCCATGCTCCATGGAGGTGGTAAGGCGTCTGCCGCACCATATAAGAGACTGTGTGGGCCAAGCTCGCGGAACTGGAAGTGAATGTGCAATGAGCGGATTCGGGATAGGTGCGATGCAAGAGCGGCCCGACGGAAGTCAATCAGAACCGTGTTGTGAAGCATGGCGAAAGTGTTCGATTCGTAGAGCACATGGATGGTTTCTCGGTAACTAGATGGAGCCTTGTTAGTTGCAAAACTGGATTTTAGCATGCGCCCGTCTCTCTTACACTAGCTGGCATGACTGGAGCACCGCCAACACGTTGGTTCTCCCACGCTTGCCGTGCAGGTTTGCAGCGTAGTTTGTGTGGACTGCCTGGACGATCGCTGGTGTGATGTTCGACACTTCATCAGGGCCCTCATCCTCCAGGAACTCGTAGGCGATTCTACCGTTTCTGTAATACAATGCGATGTGCTTTTCGCCTAACAGATGTTTCCAGAGGATAGAGCGTAGCTCAGCGGGCAGACTCAAGAACTTGCTCTGCGACTGAGCGCTTGCTGAGTCGTCGCGCAGCAATAGCGGGATGTATGGAGGTTCTGGGGTCACTTTCTCCGGAGCGACACTGTGAGGGGTGCTCGGCCAAAGGCGAACGCAAAGGCAGGCCGTGAGATTCCATGGAAGACAGATAAAAAACCGTGCAGCGCGGCGCCATTGAGCTGCCTTGCCCAGTCTCCTCGGCCGATTGTTGACCTCGATCTGCATAATGAAGATGCGATGGGATGGTTGGGCATTCGACGATTTGGAAGCTGCCGTTCAAAGAGTGGCAAGCGCGGTCAGCTGGCGGGCTGTCCAGTCGCAGCGAGTTACATGTTGCTGCCTGCAGGACATGGCTCAACCGTGCCGCATGCGGAGGTGTGAACTCTGCAACATCGTCGCTTATGACTCTTACACACTCCAAGATACTGGTGCGGGACAGTACTTCCAATCCGAGGTCCAATTCAGATACCACTGCCTGCGCGTACTAATCAACATGCAGTCCCACCACGCGCAGGACGTGGCCATCGTACCAAGCCTGGGAGAAGAACAAGAACATCGCGCGCATTCACGGGCTGCGCGCTGGACACACGGCATGAGGGGCTTTCTAGACAAGAAAATTCGACTCGCAGATAGAATCCGTGAAGAGCTGGGCGAAATGATGGAAGAAAGACGGCGGAAAAAGGACGCGGAGAAGGTGCGAAAGTACAAACCTTTTGAGCTGCGCGCTCGCAAACGTCCCACACAGGAGAAGAGCCGTCTTCTCAGTCTACCAGCTGAGATCCGGATCATGATTTGGGAGTATGCCATGACTGGACAGTTCATCGTACTCTATCGAAAGCGGGGCAAAGTCACGTCTAGTGTCTTCGACGGCCATGGCACCACGAGTGTCAACAATGCAACTGTCTCGATCATGACCAGCATAGCCATGTCTAAAGAGGAATCAGGCGCCATGTCTTTGCCTCTGACTTGCACTACCACGTGAGTCATTAGGCATAGCGACCTTGCGGAAGCCCACGGACTGACGTATTAGATACCTGGAAACGATGACGATGCTTTATCAGGAAAACACGTTTGTCTTCCTCGATACCACCGTGCTATTCGAACTTTGTAGGGAACGATCCCGGTTCAACATGGCTCAAATCCGCTCTTTACATTACTTCGTCGGCACACGGAAGTTCATCTGGTATGGAGCTACACTACCAGAGCTCGATATGATTCCGTCACCTACCCACGCCGAGAGATCAGAGAGTGCAAGCCAGGTCTTTCATGAATGTCTACCAAACCTTGAACAACTCTCAATATTCCTCTACGGC